TATATATATATATATAATTTTATTTTTATACCCCACTCTTATTTTATTTGTCATATTTATACAAAGTAATGGTCAGCCGAGTGTTGGCTACCGTTTTTAGTTAGGCGATTTACAGAGTTTTACGACCATTTGGAGGTAAAAGATTTTCCGCATTCGAGTCCTGAGGTCGTATACTTCATTTAAAGCCAGATCTCGGCAAAGGAATTTGGCAATAAATAAAACAATTTGTACACAAGAGGTAGTGAAAAAAATTGTCATTTAAATTTGCCCGAATATGGTTCACGATGATGTTAAGTTAAGCGATAACAGATGACTTGCTCGTGTAGTCAGCACTATCAACTGCAGGTCTTAAGGTAAATTACAATTTTCAGCACACACAAGACGGCTATAAAAATAATCTGGTTTCAGGCAGATTTCTTAACGAATTCGGATGAGAAATTTCATTCTATATTGAGCTTTCAGCTATTCTGTTAATAACCTGTATGTATGCAATATTGCTCTCCAGCATGTGTTTCAGCACGATAATCTCAACTTTGAAATTGAGAGAAAAAATACCTTTATTTAATTACGAATGGTCTGGAGGCATTGCATTTCCGAAGTATGAATCAGCCCAGGATGGATGTAAATACATACCGGACAGTGTGGCCTACATATGAGACAGATTACAAAGCAGTCGTTTCAAGTCAAAAATAAGCTATCCGAGACTTGACAAGCCGTTTACTTGGGCTGGTAATCTATGCTTAATTTTTAAAAGACATGCTTACCTTTGGCTCCTTTAGGTGACGAAATTATAGAAAACCCTCATTGTGCCTAGCCTCAAAATCTCAAGTTTTGCAGCTCCTATCACTTACAGTGACAGTATAACGTGCTATTCAGCAGGTCTTACTTCAAATTAGTTGATTTCAGGACTTTGCCTGGTTAACATCATCCGCCAAGAGTTGCCATGTCACCGTTGATTTAGTTCATACCCAAAAGTTTCACGAAAATCCTCATCGGCATCTTTAGTGAGCAGCGTCAACTTTGACATAGATCTACAAAGTTTCAATATGACATGACTTTCCATTTCGAAGAAAAAGTTGGCTAGAAGGAATTCGTGATGTGGTATGACCGGAAAGCCAAGGAGGATTGTCGCTTACTGGCGACTGTTATATTGGGCCGAAGACTTATTCGCACAATACAACATTCATCACTACGTGGCAATCCTCCTTCGAGTTCCAGTGAGACCACATCACAAATTTCTTCCAACCAGCCTTTCCTTCGAAATTGAAAGTCCTGTCACAATATTCTTCGAAACCCAATTTTTTGTCATAAGAGAAATGAATACCATCGACACTCTCAGAGTGCAGAAGCCTCATCAATAATTACCAATTTCTATATTAAATTCTTTTTTATCCCAATTGCTACCGCGCTTGTTCCGATATGCTCGAGTTGTGCACCTCTCTGAGTGGGTCCATTGGAGCATATTGGCTTTCGCCATTGGTTTCCCCTCTCTCTAGTGGCACCAAGAATTGTCTTTTTGGGAATAATACAGTCAAGACTACGAGGCCGGCGAAACTTCTGGGAATGTACCAAGCCCACGGTCCGAAGCCAGGTAGTATCATAACTACTGATGTAGAGAACTTTGAACAACGTGCGTTCATCTAGGTCTCCCTTGACAATCAATGTTACCTAAATGAGAATAAACCACTTTCAGGGAATGGAGACTGCGACGAAAAGAGAGGCCGCAACAGCTTTATCTTCATATATACGAATTCTTGGTGCAGCGTGTACTTGAATCTTGAAACCATTTTAAGACGTGTAAACTCGAGTTCTTTCTGACTTTCAGTGCTGGCTGGGCAGCTCTTGTAGAAGACGAGCCAGAGCCGACTCAGGCGCCAGCCTGGCCGCACGAAACAGGCTTATACCCGAGTTCAACAATTCAGGCTCCTGGGTTTGGCAAGAAGGCTCTTGGCGGCGAAGGCGTCGTGGTGCACGGCCAAGTACAGACGAAAGCTAGTAACCTTGACTAGATAAGATACTATAATCCATTTCATCCCAGTAATGAATCATTTTGAAACTCATCTACCTCATCTTCCCCAAGGCCTGCTTCCAACTTTTAGGCTACCAAATTCAGATAAAATATTCTTTCACTAAAATGCTCATTTGTCTCTGTCATTCGCATGCCATCTCTTGATCTGAAAACAAGATTAAACCAACGCATACATTACTCCGATTTGATTATTGCCGGAAAAAGCTTAACTTTGTATAGAATTCCTCTTCACCAGATCATCAGAGCTTCAGATAACTAGATAATGAAACATAAAATTACGTAACAGGCCTTTACAAAAAATTACCTCAGAAAGTCATCTGGCGTTGTAGCAAACCCCTTCAGACGGTTCAATTATCCATTTCATGCTATTCTATATTTAATCTAGCTCCATTTCCACTCGGTATGAGGGTCTGAAAAGCTAGTAGCATTATCTCATCTCACACTTTGAATCAACTTCGAACCATGGATTGGAAGTCTCTTGAATCCCTTCCTTCCCTCTTGACATCATTTTCTCTACTTTGCCTCTTCTCTTTTGTTCCACTTTTTGTTCCTTCTAATAATCACAATTTCTTTCCACTATACAAAATACACACTTATTTATGTACACAAAAACTGCCAGCTGTGCTTTATGCATGCAATACTGTGAGATCTTACACAATGTACTTGTCCATTTTGATCGTATACCACTACTTACTGTTTATTTTTAAAAGCTATGCAGCTCCTACAAGAGAAATAGTGCAAAATCTATATGGAATTAATGCATTTAATTATTTCGGATACTTTTGAGGACAGAGTTTGAGTTTTCACTGTATTTTCTCTTTTCTATACATATGCAGAAATATTGTATGTACATCTGACCACTTAATTCTTACTTTAGACTAAATTAAGTATCAAGGAGAAATTATGTCGCCTGCTTCATTCATCCCTCACACTCAAAGCCTTCCTTTTCAAATTGATAATTTTTGCTACGGCATTCTTGAAATAACCTATGCTCGAGGCTAAATGCTCGTAAAATGATTCCTTGCACACACACACACACATACTTTTCATTTTTAAGCTTATCTATTATTTTTACATTGGCGTAATTTTCGTCTCTTTGACAGTAGAACAAGTATATCAAAACTTTTTATCACATTCACAAAAATTTTTTTCCATTTCATTACTTTTATTTAAGGTACATAAAGCTTAGTTTATTAGAAGAGAACGAATAAGTTGTCTCTTCAATTCTAACTATCAAGTTGATGATGATTGCCAAGCACAAGCCCTTCTAGTGAATCTAATCCTTCAAAGTGGGCATAT